ATATATATATATATATATTAGCTTGGCTTGTGCCATTCTGCTAAAATGAGACTGCTGTGAAACTGGACAACAAATGTAAAGTGTAGCTTTTGGGGGATGGGGGCCCTTTTTGAAATAGGTAGCAAGGACTGATAAAGGAATTTAGTTTGTGGTTAGAAACCTGTTTGTCTTTGTATCTGATGTTAAAAACAAAAACCTCATCTTATGAATAAAACAAGTGAATGCCAAAAAAATAGGGGGGATAAAAACAAAATCTTGACATGTTTTGCTGCTTAAAGACACTTCAAATACCTGCATATTTGTGTCCTTTTACTAACCTTTTATGACTGATCATGTTTATCTATGCAGAAAGGAAAAAAAATAAAAAAAGTTTCCAAATTTTTCCATCACTATTTGTTATCTTCGTCTACACAAACACAGTTTGCATTCTGCAGCACACCTGAACATGAATTCGGTGGCAGCGGCAGGCAGAGAGACTCACCCTCTGTACAACACCCCAACTACTGCTGACATGAAGCCAGCAGCTGCCTCCTGCTGCTGCTCTGCAACACACACATCTGTCTCTGCACATATCTGGGCACTACCACACACACACAAAAACACACACATGTCACAAAAAAAGGCAAGTTAAATCTTCAGCTTGTTAATATGAAGAGAAAAGCTTCAGATGAGGGAGATACTGTCAGGCTCAGGTTAGGCTGCAGCTCAGTGTTAGTCAGTGCTTGTGCAGGTTTTGCGTTTTGTGTACTGCAGCCGACACTGACTCACCCCCCTGTCACACCCTCCTCCTCCTCTTTCTGCTCCTCTGCACTTCCTTTACTCTCCGACCCTCTTTCTGCTCCCGCGTCCGTCTCCTCCACGGCCGCCCACAGCTCCTTCTCTGCCTCGCGCGCCGGCTCCTCCCTGATGATCAGACCACCGGCCACACCAAACTTCTCCTCATCTGCCTCCTCTTCTTCTGGTTGTCCCGTCAGCTGGAGAGCTGGTTCCTCTGGCAGCTCTGGTTCTGGGTTCGAGGGCAGCAGAGACTCCAGGATTAGGGCCGTCTGTTTGCCAGCGAGTTTGTCGAAAAGATCATCAGAGGTTGTTGGTGGCACGATTGGTTTCTCCGGCTCTTTAGGCTCCTGGTGAACCAGGGGTGAGCAGGGTTGTGGGACTACTGGATGTAACTCTGAATTATCGGCTGTTGCTTTTTGGTGTTGTTGTGCCACCTCAGAATCTTTGAGTGAGCTGTGGGGGAAAAAAAGAAGGACACAAATTTAGATTTCCTTCTCACAAAACTATAATTATGAGTCAGGCAATTCCAGAGCAGATAAACAAGAGCAGAAGGGACATAAAACAGAGAAACCAGCGAAATGATGCCTCCTGAATCATTCTTACCCTCTGCACAAAGGTTCTGTATCATCCCTGGCAGAGTTTGTTTCTGACGCATCTTTCCCACTTCTATCTTCTAGCACTTTCCACAGAGGGATCTCTGCATCGGACAGCCTCTGTGGAGGCGGCACCAGCGTCAAGACCTCTAATGTGATCGTTTGTTTATGAGCGGCGAGGCCTGAACAGGAGTCAGGGGGAGAACCTGCTGCAGGTAATCTCCTTTCTGGGATTTCAGTGTTTGACAGTGAGTGCTCCTTTATGACAGAGGGTTGCCTCAGACTGGAAAAGGGAAGGAAATGAAAAAAAGAAAGAAAGAAAATCAAGTTGAGAAATGGAAGAATTCAGTCGGAACAGGAAAAGAAAAAGTGGACAGTAATAAAAAAAACAAGAACTTGATGCTTGAGCTCAGAATAACTGTTAGAACATTGGACCAGGTAGATGACAGTCTTAATTTAGAGGGTTTCTGTTCAAAACATCCTTACATCTACTCAGGCTCAGGGGGAGGAGCTTAATCCACCAATTAGAGTGTTAGATAGGGCTGGGCGATGAAAAAATAATGATATATATTGTCAATCAATATCCAATAGAATGTTGATCATTTTAGTGAACTTCTACCATCAAGAACCGCACGGCATTCTGGGGGATGTAGGAAAGACTTCAGCCCAGGAGTGTGCATTAAGGTCCGCAGCCCTGCATGTTTTACCTGCTTCTCTGCAACACACTTGATGTGAATGAATGGGTGATTATCAGACYTCTGCAGAACTTGAAAAAGGTCGTTCACTGACTGAATGAGCTGTGTTGAAGCAGGGAAAAAGGTAAAACAAGCAGGGCTGCGGCCCTCGAGGACCAGGATTGCCCAACCCTGCTTTAGCCGCTCGAACTCTCACGACCTAGCTAAGCAAGGTTGGTGGCATCAGCAAGAGAGAAAAAAAAAACATAAGGAGCGGCCAATAAAACTAGAAAAGTCCATTTATCAAATGTCCCTCGACTGCTTTCTGCCTTCGCACGCACTGTTTTAGATCTGTAAGCTAATAAAAAAAGACATACTTTTTAAAATGATCATAAAGAAGATTATATTTCAATTTATGAGATGCATAAAACAGATTTGTTTCAACTGTCACAGGGGGTCTTAACCTTTTTGACCTTGGGGCCCAATTTATTGAACATAAAGTGGCACGAGGCCCAGTCAGACATTACCAATATATGGATCAAAATGATAATTATTCTAAATCTTGGTTTAATTTTTATTGTATTTACATCAAAACTAAACTATCATAACTAAATTAAATACACTTACAGTTTAAAAGTAAAACTCCTGTTAAATAATCACAAGATGTGATTATGACAAACTTTTTATATTGTAACCTGCCCATAACAATTATTTGAACAAATACAAAGGTCAGTCAACAGACCACTCAGGCTTAGCAGCACAAAAAGATATATGTATATATAAATACATATATGTACAGTATATATGTATATATATATTGCAACCAGAAGCTGCTCTTCATATTAGTGACCAACAATAACAGTAACAACAGCTTTTTGACAAGTTTAAAATGTCTTTAAAATACATTCAAAATGTTTAAAAATAAACTACAAAAATTAATTTAAAGTGCAAATTAATATATAGTTGTTTCTGCAACTGTATTTGATAATGTTTCAAACTTTTAAAATATTGCATGGTAAAAACAGAGGCTGCGCTTCATATTAATGACAAACTTTGTTGTTTTTTGATGAGTTACTTTCATTTTTGCTTCTACTTTTCTTTTAAAATAAGTTTCCATTCTCGGCAGGTATCTAAGGTTCTTCTATATGTTAAAAAAGTTGTTAAACATCTGAGTGGYGCACTACCGCTACTAGTGGTGAGAAACTGTATTGCACTTTATTCAAAATCAATGCGGTCCCGCGGCCCTCTGTGGCCCAAAGTTAAAAACTGTTGTTCTTTTGAGGCCCTCAAGGTGGCGYTCATAGGTTAAGAATCTCTGGTTTAAAAGCTGTCAACCACAGAGCTAATCAGTGGGGGAGCATCTTTAAAACTAGAAAASTGAGTTTGCAAAAAGTCAATAAAATAATCAACAATCAAACAGGAACATTAAAACACACTGATTGGTTGAATCAACATTTTAGTGATGATTGATTGTATTTGTAATGGAAGAAGAATGACCTGCTGGAAGAATAGAAACGGAGCAGACTTGAAGACAAACATCCACTCACCGCTCATCCGAGTTCAGATTATTGGGTGATGAAGAGTTCAGATTATTGGGTGATGAAGAGTTCAGATTATTGGGTGATGAAGAGTTCAGATTATTGGGTGATGAAGTTGTTGTTGTGTCTTTCAGAGGAAACAGTTTGATTCTCATCTTCTCCTTGTCCTCATCTGACTTGTTGACCTCCACACTACAGACAGGAGATGTTCTTCTCTTCTCCTCCTCCTCTTTGTTTTCCGCCTCCTTCTTTTTCCTTTTTTCCTCCTCCCTCAGTTTCTTTTCTGATTTTTCTTTCTCTTCTCTCTGTCTCCTCATCTCCTCCATTTTCTTCCTCTCTGCCTCCTTTTGCTCCCGTTTTGTCTTTTCTTCTTCTCTCTTCTTCGTCTCTTCTTCCTCCTTTCTTCTCTGTTCCATCGTTTCCTGCTCGTCTTTCAGGAGTTTCTCCTTCTCCTGCTGCTCTTTGAGGAGTCTCTGTTTTTCTTCAGTTTCTTTCTTCCTCCTCTGTTCTGTCTCTTTGACTCTTTCTTTCTCCTCTTCTTCTCTCCTCTTCTCTTCGGCCTTCCTTCTCCCCTCCTCCTCCTCTTCCCTCTTTCTTCTCTCTTCTGCTTCCTTGATTCTACGACTCACCTCCTCTCTCCTTTTCCTCTCCTCATCTTCCAGCCTCCTTCTCTCTTCGGCCTTCTTTGTCTTCTTCTCCTCCTCCTCTTCCTTCTTTCTTTTCTCCTCCATTTTGACCTTTTGTCTTTCCTCCTCCATCATTTTTCTCTCCTCCTCTTGCTTCCACTTTCTCTCTTCCTCCTGTCTTGTCTCCATCTCTTTTTTTATTCTTTCCTCCTCTTCCTGTTTTCTTTTCTCCTTTTCCTCATCCTTTTTTTGTTGCTCTTTTTCTTTCAGCTGTCTTTCCTCCTTTTTCTTCATCTCCTCCTCCTCCCTCCTCTTTCTTTCCTCCGACCGATTCTCCTCCTCGATTTTCATCGTCGTCAAGAACCTCTCCTTCTCCTGCCTTTTCTCCTCTTCCTGCTTCAGTTTTACAGTTTCCTCCTCTAACTTCAGAAGCCTCCTCTCCTCTTCTCGTTTTCGCCGCTCCTCCTCCCCCCTCAGTTTCTCCTGTTTATCTCGCTTCTCCTTCAGGAGCCTCGCTTCTTCAAGCCTCCTCATCTCTTTATTCCTCCTGACCTCCTCCTCCTCCTGTAGGAGCCTCTTCTTCTCCTCAAGCAGTAGCCTCTTCCTCTCTTCCTCGTGCTTTCTCATCTCCTCCTGCTTCAGGAGCAGCTCTTTTTGCTCGTTCTCCTTCCTGCTCCTCTCCTCTTGCTCCTTTTGGATCTCTGACTCCCTGAGTTTCTCCTGCTTCATCAGCGCTGCTTCCTCTAACCTCTCTGTCTGCAGCGGCTTTTCTCCTTCATGCTTCTCATTGAGTTTCTGTTCAATACTGCAGAACAAAAACAAGACGCCTTAATTTTATTTTTGTATTTTTAGGTTCTGTGTGTGTTTCACAGCAAATCACACCCTGCAGCCGATTTTTTAACCTTGATTGTTTATTTAAAAGTAAAAAAACTCACCCTGAAGGACACCTTTTGATAGAATCATACTTGGAGTCATCCTCTTCCAGGAACAAGCTCCCTGATGATTCAGAGTCAGCTGCTGTCTGCGGCGGCTTTTCGCTCCTAAAGAGGCTGATAATGCTCTCATTCGTTGGCTTTTTCAAAGCCTCTTCAACGTTTGGCTGCTTAGGTGTGATAAACGCTGCAACGACACTGGTGGACGACTTCTCTGGGGTCGAGAGCTCGCTGCAGGAAAAAGGCCACGGAGGGGGCGGGGCTATGATCAACTCTGAGCGGGACTGAGCGGGACTACGGGGACAGAAATGGTGTCTGTCAGGCTCAGAGGAAATGTCAAAACGACAAACATTGTGTCGCCCGTCCAAAACACTGCAACACGCAAGCATCCGAGGAAATAAAAAGACCAATCACAAAACAACCAGAAATCTTAAAGGGGCAATATCATGTAAAATCTCATCAAAACTATCATGTTAAAATATTATACTCTCATAAAAACATGCCCAAAGCCTTGCTTTGACTTATTCATGCATGTTTGAGAAATCCTGCAACATTTTTAGGAAGCCATGCTGAGGAGCAAAATGACAGGTT